AGGCTTTACATAAAATACATTCGTTTTATTATATATTGAAGAATTTCAAACATATTTCACATTTATAAAAGGAAAATTGAGTTTCCAATATGAAAACTTAATTAATTATACGTATCATAGATTGATTAGAAGAACGACTATGTTGAGAGGCGAGTATGTAATGTAGTGCAATTAACAATTGCCGCGGATAATTGCGAGCGCGGTTTTAAGTAGAAAGTAGCGTCGCGTGTCAGACGCTCGGGTTTAATTGCCAACTGACTCGTTACGTAAAACGTGTTTTCGCGGATCCGTTAAACGAGCACCGGGTCTCTTCGAGTTCCTCGAACCGAGAACTCAGTCGTTGCTGATTCGAAAAAATAGAGGAAAGAAAGCCGCATGGTTTTAATAATGATCATCGATATACGTGTAATTAAACCTGGTCCGAGTGTCTAATTAGATATTTAAATGCAATCAAGTCGTGTTTTAAAAATGTAATAAAATGTGTCTCGCATCCTCTGTACATTTTATATCAATAAATCATTTCCTAGAGCAGATAGTTCAAATTCTTCAATGAGTCAATTATAGTAAATGTCCCAATTTCACGTCACAGTTTCTAAAATTTTATGTGCAATCTTGAACCACTGAGTAGAAACTGTGACCAGAAATTGGTGCATTTGCTATAACAATTCTCATATAAAAGTATACGTCGTATCATTAATAATTCTGGTTCCAAAGGTCATTGACTTGGAATCCTTGAGAATGATAAATAATATGCATCAGAATTTATTCTGAATCAATTTGAATATTAATATCCTTGAAAAAGTCCCACGTGTGACGACTAAAAGCAGAAAAGGATAAAATGATCATGTAAACAAGATTAATGAATTGATAATTCTAAATTTATGCAAATACTAGTCAATTAATTTGTATTATAATTACTCTTATAGCGAATGACGTATCTTCTCTTTTTACTTGCAATAAATTAAATTGAAGAATTAATTCACTTTCTGGAAAAAGTGTTCTGTTAAAAGTTTGCAAGGGAGATGAGTCAAGAGTCACTTTATTCTTCTTTAGCATTCATAGTGAATTCGAAGAAATCGAATCATGACTCGGCGAATAACCGGTTTAATCCGCCTAATCGGATGTTTGTTTCTCGAAGAATGAGGAGGAAGAAGCAAGGCGTCGTCGAGGGCGAAGGGGCGTGGGCGAGGATTCTGCTGCTCGTCGCATTAGCTCCTGTTATCTGCTCCGCCGGAATCCTGGACCCTTGGCAATGGGCGCGTAGCGATCGAATCGAGGTCAACATACCTTGGCTGCCGTGTAATTATCAAATTAATGCCTCCATCGATTAATCATAGAAATCAAACTCCGTTAGCCCATCAGAATTCTTATTGAAACAGAGATTTTACTAACTCGGTTCATTATACAAATTCTCTACTTAGTGTATTGAAAATATATTGTGAATTAACATTGATTTTTATGTAGGGTCTATATTGTACATTTTTGTAATTCATGAACAATTAAATAGTCGAGAACGAGACGAGGTGCTACGACGAGCTGGGCTGTCTTAATATAACCAGGAGCTGGTATCACCTCATCCACAGGCCATTAAACGTCTTCCCTCTGCCAAGGGAAGTGATCAACACGAGATTCATATTGTACACAAAAGAAAATCCCACCGAAGTGAGTGAAACATCTTTAAAGATGTATTGGCTATACAGTCAATCCGAAAAGTTTATGTAGCTTAGAAAAACGCATTTCTTATAATTAAAGAGAAATCAGACGTCCGAAGAATAATGCTAATAATAAATAGCTACGTGCTAACAAGTAT